ACTGAATAAATGGTCTACAGTTGATCTTCCTGCTCTAAAACCGGCCTGTTCCTCTGCCTCACTATCTTTGTACTCGTTCTCTATTCTGGCTTTTATAAGTTTTCCATGCACTCTGCTCAGCGTATTTGTTACTGCAATTCCTCGGTGGTTCTCGCATTTGTTTCGAGAAATTTTCCACTCTTCCAGTACTTTATGTTTATCTATGCATGTTTGAAATAGTTTTGTTAAATGTTTGTAGAGTTTATTGGTCCCACACTCTATCAGTTCTCCATATATTTCTCCTGGGCCTGGTGCCCTAGCATTTTTCAAGAAGCCGCAGTGTTTTTTAACTTCTTCTTGCATAACTCGTATTGGTGATCCTGCAGTTTTTATGTTTCGTGTCTGTTCCTTTTCTTCTTTAAACTCTGCCCGCTGTTCTGTCAATAATTCTTCAAAGTACTTTTCCCATTGCTGGGGTTTTATTGTATTGATAATATCCTTAGTTTGTGTTTTCCTCTTGTTTTTGAGTAATCTCCAACTTTCTGTGTTTCTATTACCCCCCAGATAAGTATTAATATGCGCACAGTTTCTTTCCCATAACTCGTTCTTTTTGTTCGCTATTTTATTCCGTACTCTTGCTTGTGCTTCTTTATATATTTCTTTGTCTCGTGTCTTATTTGAAGTTATATACTGTTGGTATTTCTTCCTTTTATCTTCTATGTCTCTCTATTTCTTGGACCCACCAATAAGGTGTGGGTATAATATACAATATTAAATGACCTTTGCTCAGCCGAACAGCGAACTGAACATAGAAATGTGTCATTCCATTTAGGTAATGCTCAATAAAAAATATAAAACGACTTCGTTGAGTCTTCTGTTCTGAAAATTCACATGCTCAGCCGAACAGCGACACTATCTATCAGGGACCATGAAAGTGACCTCAGAAGTAGGGGTACATGACGTTTAGGAAAGCATCCAGTATTAATTGAATTGGACCACTACTAGGCCTGGATGTAGGAGTAGGACCCTATCGGAGAAAATTAAATTACTGATAGTCTCTTTTTATTTAAAGAAAGTTGAAATAGACAAAAAAACCTGTCTCTTAAGTTTGTAATAAGACACAAAAGTACATGACTCACCCTGAACAAGGGGCTCCTATACCATGATTTGGTACAAATACAGGACTGGCATCACCAGAGGTGGTTGCAGATAAAGATAGGCTGGAGCATTAATTATAAACTTAAGCAATGTTCAATATATAAAATGATTTGTCACATACCTGGCATGTTCGAATTAAATCACAACATTCTCCGTGATATAATTATTTAAAGTATTACAATTTGACCAAATAGTGCTATGTATTTAACAATCATATTTGATATTGAAATTTATCTTTAACTTAAATTTTCATAACTTCAATTACAATCTCATAACTTTAATTACAATTTCCATAACTTTAATTATTACAAAATACTATATTATTATACCGGTGTAATTGTACAGTGTACAGTGTGTTTTTTCTGTCATCCAGGAAAATAAAGTTTCATTTTTGGGGAGTGTTGAGTATTTGTTTAGAAAATCTTTCTTATTTTCAGGTACAGTCAGGTACTTTTCAAATTAAGTTTTTCTTTTTTTTTCTTAATTTACATTTCAACATCATTTAAACTGTAATAATTATGTAAGTAATCCTTCACTTTTAAAAAAAAATTAGTGGCGTCCAAATAGCAAGGTCAAAACCAAGCAAATATCTGAACCCATTTCCCAATGCCACTGATAAACAGCTACCGTGCTTATATGTTTAGTGGTCGTTTTCCGGAATCAGAAGGAATCAGAAAAATATTTGCTACAACCGCTAGTATCGTCCCTCTCATAGCTTTTATCACCGCTCTAACATAAACACGGTCTTAAGTACAAAATTGAGAGCCATGGAATGGAATTTAATTTTTAGACTTGAAGACTTATAGCGTATGAACCGTGGTAACGACGAAGGAAGGATTGGAGGGACCATACAAAAAGGAGACTCGCATCTGTAGTGACGTCACAAGGGTATCGGCACTTGACAATAATAGGCAAACCGCTTTGCTTAAAATCCTTGATTTATGTCAATCGTTCGTCGGTTTTCATTGGGGGTTTTCAAGCGATTGACCAGTCGATGACTGACAGATGAGCAACTGATTTTACGTCATTTAGGACCAGTTGGTTAACAAATGACGTTTACTTTATTGTTTATCTGTCAAGTGTAACCGACCGGTCAAACGCTTGAAATCGTCTATTGTAGATATACTTACTACAAATAAAATTTGACCACTCAAGTGTTTATTTGCTTGTATTATGATATTGTTATCAAAGGCAGAGATACAATATTTTGTGAAGAAATACTTTCGATAAAACTCCATGAGTATGATTTATTTTGAAGTGAAACTTCCTAGGTGGCGGTCAAGGTTATTTGAGAGAGCTAGATTGCCTGATAACTGTATGACATCATCTGGGGTGCCACAACATAATGCAAATCTCCATAAGGCACCCCAGATGCGTCATCAAGTTACCTATTACCAGACAACCTATTAACTTTAGCTTGGGCAACGTTCCGATATTTGAACGAGAATGGAGAGTGATTCATAAGGACACGTCACGTAACTTCACGTTTTGGGAAATTTCATTACACGAGAGAGAAGAAAGATATAATGTACAGACACGAAGAATAACAGCTAATGACAATGACAACCGACGAACGATTGACACAAACTAAGGATTATAACCAAGGAGGATTGCCTATTTTATTGTCAATACCCTTGTGACGTCTCACTTCGACTTTACCCCGACTCATACGCTGAGTCTAAAAGTTGTATGAGGGAAGGATAGTTTTTAATAAGTTTCACTTCTAACACATGTACGGCGTTGCACATGATTTTTTTTTTGCATCAGGATCGGCGGTAGCAATTCCTTTTCAATCGGCCGCCTGTGTATTTTGAACACACCGCACACATGGTAGCGGCGGCACTGGGCTGCCTAATCCGGGTACAAGCTAATTCGTCTTATCACTCCCTATGTGTCTGGTGGTCTATATAGAAATAAACAAAAAACCAATGATAGAAAGTTATAGAAGAGAATAAGGTCCTAAAATGCTCAAAACCAAGACTCGGTACGAACAAAACGATGCGCTTAAAAAATTAAGACGAAAGAGAAGAAATGAAAAAGAACAAAATCGCTCTAGGTGTGAAAAGCTTATATCGTGACGTGACATATATAGTTTAATGAGAAAAGCATTCCATAGCATTGAGCTATGAACCCTAGAAAAAGCACTAAACAGAAATCTATCCACAGAAATCCAAAATTGATACTACAGCTCAAGAGAACACCAATTTCAATCCAATCGGGAGAGGAGGTAGATTGGGAGATTTGATAACACCAAAACTCACGCTGGCCAATGGAGGATGGATTCAAGAAACTAAACTGGATAAGACATCCTATGACTATAAGTAAGCGGCAAACGATTGAATCATCTGAGGTACGGCATCGTACCGATTTATAACTATTTTGAAGAGCTATACTTGATGACTTTAATACAATAACCAGGAGGTAGCATCAATAGTCAATCATCTAAAATGGAATTTCACAAGACACCGTGGAAGACAGAAAGATTACAGATGAAATGGATAGACGACCTCAAACTATCTACAGGAGAAAAATGACCCAAAATAGAGTTCACTGGTGGGAATTGTGCGAGACGTACATCCAGAAGACTGACTAAAAAAATACTATGAAAAATGATTTAGAAGCCGAACGATATGTATGGACAACCAGTAAAAATTCCAATCAAATGAACGCTTCTCTCGTTGCTATTGTACTTGCAGTAACAAAATCCGGCATTGAGATTCGGTCAAGTGACTCTTATTCGTTGTCCAAATCAAATATGAATACACAAGCTTATCTCAGTTTCGGATATCTTGATATTTCAAAATAATATAACAATGCATTTTTCATTTGGCTCGGCGCATTATCCAACAGCAGCATATTATTGAATCTGAAAAGAAAAGCATAAAATATTGTTCATTTAATCAAGGTTCACGTTTGTTCATTGTATTGAATGTTAAGTTTCTACTGTAGCGAATGATTCATATAAAGGATGTTACAGCTATTGTAATTATTTTGGTCCAGATTAGTTTTGCAACTTTTCAAAAACATACATTTTACGAAGCAACAAATAATTTTGTTTTTAATTGCATCGGCAGTTTGTTAAACACAAATACACAGTTTGCCCAGCTGTTACTTTCGCTTCTTAATCACGCCCCGGGACTGGAAAACTAATGGGGTGCAAACTGTTCTGGGGTTAGATTAAATCTCCGGATAGAACAAAAACGTGCCTGGAATTTTCCCGATTTTTCAACAGGGTCCAGAATCAATGGATTAACGTTAATTTTCGTACTATACCAGTGTTCAACTTGCTGAACGGGAAAATTCAATTTGGCTGTCTTAAAATTAACCACCATAAATAACTTTTTTTGTATTTTAATATAAAAATAGTTCACCAGATGGTCTTGGAATACCATAATGTAGGCGTGACACCGTGGTGATAACCCCTTTAAAATATTACAAAATAAATTACTACAAGGCAAAGCATAAATATCGTATGACACTTGATTTATAGGGCTTTATTTATATTATACTTCTTCAAGAAAGTTTTAAACAATAATTACTATTTTCTTACTAAGTAACGTTTACACTATCTCAGCAGAGAGCTTTAGCGTAAATGACTTGAACAAATAAAAGGATAAACGGTAATATTTTATAACAACCGAGCGGCTAGACGACATATTACACCACGCTCAACACTTTGTTGGTTTATCGTGTTTATCTTTCAAGTTTATCGTTAGTAGTCGTGATTTACTACCTAGACCAGTTAGTATATCAAATTGAGCAAAATTGCACTCTTTTGTGTGAAACTCTGGATCGGAGATTTTCAATTTTATATAGAAATAATGAATTGGATTCCTACATTACATTATTCTTCTTTTTTTCAGCTTGCGATTGTCATCCAATAGGGGCCTCAGGAAAAACGTGTAACCAAGCTACTGGACAATGTCCATGCAAAGATGGTGTTATTGGGATCAACTGTAACCGGTGTGCTGTGGGATATCAGCAAAGTCGTTCTCAAATTGCACCATGTGTCAGTAAGTACAATTAATAAGTTACGTTGATGTTTGTGAATTCATGAGTTACAACCAAAAAATGGACAATTATTGTACCAAAGACTGGTAACTGACCCGAAAAACATAGTCTTGAAAAATTGGCTATATTCCAGATCAAGTACGAAATTTTCAGCTGAACCACAAACTGAATATTGGACCTCTATTCATTCATCATTTATCATCAGTCGTTTTGTGTCCACTGCTGGAAATAGGCCTCCAGTAAGTCATTCCAATGCCTCCGGTCTTGAACACTTGGGCTGAATGCACTTAATGTCGTCTGACCATCTTGTTGGGGGACGTCCTCGGTTACGATACGCATGTGATTTGAAGGCATCCCTTTTCCGTAGGCTGTCCATGTCAATCCTATTCTCCTGTTCAATTATGTGGTCTGGTTGTCTTTTCCTAATTCAATCTCCATGCGTTGAAATGTTTTTGGCAAGTAAAAGGTTGGTCATGAATTGTTTCTGGAGAAATTGATTTTGAGGCTAACTCGTGCATAAGATTTTTAAAGGTCCTGGAGAAGCTGACATGCATGATCTACCCTGTCTGCAACAATGACTACGTCGTCTGCAATCCTCAGATTGTTTAGATACTCTCCATTGATGTTTACTCCGATATTTTCCTAATTGTCTTTTCTTTATGGCGCTTTGTAAGAAAGCAGTGAATAGTTTAGGAAACATGATGTCTCCTTGTCTAATACTTTTCTCCAAGGGGAATTTGTTGATGTGCCATTCTATAACTAACTTTAACACCCCCACGCTAAAATCCTTCAAATTCAACATATTTCTAAATTTTACAAACAAATTAACATTCAAACCCTTTGTGAGGATATCAGCCTGTTGTTTAGATGTTTCAATAGAATTCAATTTAATTTTTCCATTTTTAATGTTTTCACACACAAAATTGAATTTAAAATCGATGTGTTAAACTCTTCTATTATTTGCTAGATTTTTAACCAAAGCTAAACATCCCTGATTATCCTCATAAAAAGTAATGCAATTAAATTTAACATCTAAATTTAAAAACAATTTTCTTAACCATAATCCATCACAAACAGATGAACATAGAGCTACTAATTATTCTTCTGTTGTGGAAAGTGATACACATGTTTGCTTTTTCGTTGTCCAGCACAATGTATTATCAAAAATTTTGAAAACAAAACCAGTAACAGATTTTCTATCCATTGTATCACCTCCTCAATCAGCATCCACATTACAGCACAACTCTTTATTGGTATTTCTCTCATAAACTAACCGTATTCCAATGGTTGATTTTAAATATCTCAAAACTCTTTTCAAATGGTTAAATGCTTCATCAGTAGCTTTATCTTGAAACCTACTAGAGAAGTTTATTGCAAAACAAATATCTAATCTGCTTCTTAGCATAGATACATCAGGCATCCTACTAATTCTCTAAGAGGTTTTGTTGTTCTATTGGAATCATTACATAACTCAATTCTGAGATGCTTTTCTATTGGAGTTGAACAACCATTACAATTTTCCATGTTGAATCGTCTCGAAAGATCATTAATGTATTTTGTCTGGTTTATTCTTAATGTCCCTGTTAATCTATTATAATCAATCTCTAATCCTAGTAAATATTTCAATGCTCCTTTATCTGTCATTCGAAATCCACTTAATAATTTCAATTTGATGTCATTTAGTTGAAGTTCATTTGAACCACACAAAATTATTTCATCAACATAAATCAACAGAAAAATTTTGTCACAATCAGTATCTAACATATAAAGACAAAAGTCACTTTCTGAACGACAAAATCCTATATCCAAAAAAAATGTATTTATTTCTTCATTCCAACATTTAGATGCTTGTTTTAACTGTACAAAAAAATTTTTCAATTTAAAAACAAAATTTTCAGATAATTCTATTGCATTTGATTCATGAATATATACATCTTCATGTAAAATCCCATTTAAAAATGCGGTTTTCATATCTAATGTTGGAAAACATATCCAAACTGATTTCCAAATATTAACAAAGCTCTAATCGTTGTCATTCTGGCTACAGGTGAATATATCTCATCATAATCTTTTTGTGCAAAACCCCTAACAACTAACCGTGCTTTGAATTTATCATTTTCATTTTCTTCGCAAATACTTTATTGAAACAAAACCATCAGCAACAGCCTCTCTTACAAAATGTGTTTTGACCTTTTGTTGAAAACTGGATTTGCAGACAACTTGATTGCACTCTGATTATCTTTAAATATAGTTATACATTTTAAATTTGCCTGTCAATTCACAAATTAAATTTCTGAGGGACATGGCTTCCTTTGAGGCTTCAGAGAGAGCCATATACTCAGCCTCTGTGCTGGAAAGAGCCACAGTGTTTTCTTTCCTGCTCTCCCATGAGATTAAACAATTTGCGAGCTTGAAACAAAACCCTTGTGTAAGATTTTCTATCCAACACATTATTCGCCCAATCGGCATCTACAAAACCTGTCAAATCAAAATTACTACATCTATTAAATGTCATACAATAATTTTTAGTTCCTTTCAAATATTCAAGAATTCTTCTAGCATAGTTCCAATGCTCATCACTAAAACAATTATTATATTGACTCATAAAGTTTACAGCAAATTAAATATCAGGTCTTGTTAACAAACATAAATACATCAAACTTTCTATTAATTTTTGATAAGGAATTTCTGAATTTAATCAATTGTTGTCAGCTCTTTCCAATTTTAAATTGACCTCCATAGGAGTACTAGCAGTTTTACTATCTTACAGATTGAACTTTCTCAAAAGTTGTTCAATATACTGCTCTTGATCGAGCTTAATTTCGCCTTTATTCCGATCATAGCTCATTCTCATACCTAGAAATTGTTAAGCCTGACCTAGATCTTTAATATCAAATTTTGAATTCAATTCTTTTTTGATAAATTCTACCTCTCTGATATCATTACTAAACAAAAAGAAATCATCAACATACAGAGCGACTATAGTGATATCTTTACTCGATTTATTTTTAATAAATAGGCAAGGTTCAAAATGAGATTTTTTATAGTTCAAATTACTCAAAACATCTTCAACCCACTGATACCACGCTCGTGAAGCCTGCTTTAATCCATAAATGGCTTTTTTGGGTTTTAAAACTTATTTGTTACTTGAAATCCTTCTGGTTTTGTCATATAGACATTTTCATGTGAATAGCCATTTAGAAAAGCAGTCTTCACGTCAAGGTGTGTGATGTCTAGATTAAAATTTACAGCATATGATGATAAGATCCTTAAAGTACTATGTTTGACAACAGGAGAAAAAGTATCGCAAAAATCTATACCTGGTTTTTGTGCAAATCCTTTTGCAACTAACCTTGCACGATATCGCACCAAATTTCCACCATCACATTTGATCTTAAAGACCCACTTACATGGCACAATAGTTTACCCTGCAGGAGCATCTACCAATTCCCAAGCATCGTTTTGACTAAACGATTGGAGCTCTTCGGAAATAGCCTGGATCCAGCGCTGATTATCAGGCCTTGATAGTGCCTCTGAATAGGTTGTTGGTTCATCCTCGTGCTTATCATACGCATCTTTAGAACTTCCAGTATTATCTGCACACAAGTAGAGTTCATAATCCCTAAACTGACTGTTTGGTTTATGAATTCTCTGGGATTTCCTGGCCTCCGCCTCTAAAAACTCTTCAGCTTCGGCAAAATCCTCACTATCTGAACATTCTGAGAGTTGATCCCCCACTGAATCTATATTTTCTGTCTCATTTGTTATTATAATATCCGCTGTATCCTTTTTATTTTCTTTTTTTTCTTTGTCAGTTTCTTCCATTATAATAACATCCCTACTTGTGGAAATACAATTCGTTCTGGGATTATATACCCTATATCCTTTTATGTTGTCACTGTATCCCACAAAAATCATTTTTTCCGATTTCTTATCCCACTTCAACCTTTTGGCTTTGGGAATGTGAACCATCACAGAACTGCCGAAAATGCGTAAAGAGCTTACGTTCGGCCTTGAACCAGTCCATACCTCGGAGGGAGTTTTGTCTAGTCCAGTTGTAAGAGACCGATTTCTTAAATACACAGCTGTGTTACAAGCCTCACTCAGCCCAAAATTTAGTTTCTAGTCCTGCATCAAATAACAAACACTTCGCCTTTTCTATAACTGACCGGTTCAATCTCTCCGCAGAACCATTTTGTTCCGGAGTGAAGGCATTTGTTTTCTGGTGAATTATCCCGCAGTTTTTCAAAAAATATTCGAAATCTCTACTAGGTACAAACTTCACCTCCGTTACCTATCGGTTCTAAATTTTTTAATTCTTAAATTGGTTTGGTTTTCCACTATTAGTTTGAATTCTTTAAATTTTTCGAAGAATTCGCTTTTGTTTTTCAAAAAATAAATGAACGCCATGCGAGAAAAATCATCCTCTAAAATCAAAAAATATCGGGAACTTCCAATTCGTCCGCATAAATCCGTGTGAACCAACGCAAGCATAAAAGAAGCTCTGCTGCCCCCGTGGGAAAAAGGTAACCTAGTTTGTTTTGCCTCACAACAAACTACACAGTTTTGTTTTGTGGTTTTTAGCTCACCTGGATAAAGAAGACCATCAACAATTAAATCATTTTTCATCTTATTGAGATCACTGGAATTCATGTGCCCGAATCTCCTATGCCATGTTATGCCATTCACAGTCAGAAAACATTTATTAAACTTTTTTGTTTCTAACTTATATACACCATTATTCAAGTAAGGGATCGCAACTAGTTCATTTTGATTATTATAGTTATTTACTTAACAAATGCGGAAAGTGATACTTTACCGCACGCAACGGCAGTTGACCGAACGACGCGAAGCGGAGTTCGGTCAAGTTCGGTCAAGCCGTTAAGGGCGCAAGGACTTTCCACATGTGTTAGGTACAAAATTTTACCTAAGAGCATCTACATCTCCAAAAAAAGGCATTGATAAAATTAATTAATGAATCAGATTAATTGATGAAATTAGA